CACGCTACAGACATGCTGTAGACACAAAGCCTGGCTGCTCCAGTCCAGTGTGGAGCAGACGTGTGCTGATCATCAGACGATCAGAAGTTAAAGCGTGTCGTCGTTCCCTCCACAGCTCATCGTCTTCACTCCCAAGTCTCTGCTGCGCCACCCAGAGGCCAGATCAAGCTTCGACGAGATGCTTCCTGGTAACTAGACACTGCAGATCAGCCTCCAGAGGAGAACAGGAACACAAGAAACTCACCTCTTCTTCTTCTGCTTCTGCTTCCTGCAGGGACTCACTTCCAGCGGTTGATCCCAGAGGGAGGTCCAGCGTCTGGCCGTCCAGAGGAGGTGAAGAGGTTGATCTTCTGCACTGGGAAGGTTTATTATGAGCTGACCAAAGAGAGGAAGAACCGAGGCCTGGAGGACACAGTGGCCATCGCTCGCATAGAGCAGGTGCACCAAACACACACACACTCTACAGACACACTCATACTTGCATCTCTTGACTGGCTGGTGTTGACTCATGATCACTAGTTTGACTCGTTGGTCTTGACGTTGGTTTTGACCATCTGACTCGTTGACCTGCTGGTTTTGACTTGTTGACTCGTTGGTTTTGACTCATTACTTGTGACTCTGGTCCTGACTGGTGACTCGTCCCCCAGCAGTAATCTGTGTCTCTTCGTGTCCCTGCAGCTGTCTCCGTTCCCGTTCGACCAGGTGAAGTCCGAGTCGGAGCGCTTCGCTAACGCCGACCTGGTCTGGTGTCAGGAGGAGCACAAGAACCAGGGCTACTACGACTACGTGAAGCCTCGCATCAGGACCACCATCCAGAGAGCCAAGCCCGTCTGGTAACCGCCACCGCCGCCTCGCTCTCAGGTATCGCAGCCACGTCACCACGGCGACCTCTGACTCTGACTCCTCCCCTCCCCGCAGGTACGCCGGCAGAGAACCGGCGGCGGCTCCGGCAACCGGGAACAAGAACACTCACCTGATGGAGCTGCGGCGCTTCCTGGACACGGCCTTCGACCTGGACGCATTCAAAGATCAGCAGTAAACCTGCAACACCTGAACAGACCCTCACCTGTCTCACCTGTCTGACCCCGACCACCTGGACAAACACACACACACACACACACACACACACTGCAGTACTCTGTACTGCTGACACAGTACACGCAGTACTGCACAGTGTACTACCGACAGACCGAACTCCCGAAGGAATACGCCGTTCAGAACTCCATTAAGAAACTGTCTGTTTTTAGTTTCCTTCAGTATCACAGTGATCCAGTGATATCTGTCTGTACATTTCTGACGTCATCACAAACAGGAGCTGCTGACGGATAGTTCAGCTGCTTTCAATGACAACAATATTATATTTTAATATTAAAACCATCCCACAGACATGATCAGGCTTTGGTCTGAGCAGCAGTGTGCAGTATCAGTGCTGTGGTCAGTCGTACAGCAGCTCCAGGCTCAGCTTCACCAGAAACGGCCAGACAGATCTGAGCTTCCTCAACATTTTTCTTTGGATGAGATTTTGTCTGTTACATGGAGCCGAGCCTCGTTTGAAAACTCATCAGAGAAGTTTAACTTCAGTTTGTTTGTTAATCTGTTAGTGATGAATTAAAACACAAGAACGTGACCTGAGTGAAATGTACTCTTAAATTGACTAAATTTCAAATGAAGTCTGGTATTGTGTGCTCTAATAACATCTGATTTTGTTCCCTGATGGTGTCAAGATTAGATGTCCTCCCTTTGTCCACAGCTGCTGTGGAAGATGAGGGTTTAAACAAGTTTCTCTAAGGTCGCAGTTTGAGCAGCTTCACGTGTCTTTAATTAGCTGTTAATTGATTACAAACGGTTCGTGTTTCGTGTGCAGAGGACAGGACAAGGAACAGAAGTAGGTTCTAACGCAGAATGTCCAAACGCAAGCAAGAACTGGAAAACGGGGAGAAATTAGAATGAAGTCTGGTGAGACTGATCAAAGGTTAAACGTATGTAGGAAGTCTGGTTCTGTTGGATCACGATAGCTAAGATTCAGTGCAGCAGAAACAACACTCTTAAACACAGCCCCTGTCAACAGTTGCCAGACAAGTTGCGTCTTGTCTCAGCAACTCGGCAACACAATCACGTTAGTGGCAGCAGGATGAAAAATCAGGACGTCTTTCTGCTGCAGGAAACGTTGTGGTGAAGTTGAGCCTGAAACGTTGACCTTTGACCCCTGCTCACACACACACACACACACACACACACACACACACACACACTCCAGCTGTTGTTTCAGAGCAAACGGTTCAGATTACAAGCACACAGTGAGACCTCCTGTTTTACTCCACCTTCATCATCATCTTCATCACTCCCTCCTGCCACCACAGATGCAGGTTCTCTTCTTCTTCTTCCTCTTTTCTTCTTCTTTGCCCCCAAAAAGTTGCAGGAAAAATGTTTCTTTTGTAAAAAAAAAAAATAAATAAATTTGAAAAATGGCTCATTAGCATTGTTAGCGCTCCCCATTGAAAACCAATGGGGGTGGGGCTAGCTGGGAGGTCGTCGCCTTTCAGCGGGTGTGTTCGTTAAGGAGAGTCTGTAATTAGTCACCGTGACGACGCTTAACACTGAGATTTTATTGTCTTTTATTTTGAAGGGGTATGTGGGGAATAAAATGGTGCGCGCCGTTTGGCGTCCCGACACAAAACCAAACGCACTGCTGATGATTGATTCGCCCCTCGGCTTCTGTCCCCTCGGCGAGCGCTCACCTCGTGCCAAAATGGATCATCGCAGCGTCTCATGTCTGTCCTGTCTTTCGTGTTCGGCGAGCGACCGGACGAACTCTGCCGGCCGGAAACGAGATTCTCCAGAAGAGAAGCGACGGCAGAGGACGGCTGCAGGTGGTGTTCTGGGCTTCTGTGAGACAAAGAAAATGATTTATTTATTTTCATAATAGGGGATTTGAAGTTCTCTTCATTATTTTGCTTCATTCAATAAAGATGCTGTATGTACTGAAACCTGCCGCCTCCCGTCTCTGCTTCTGCACCAACACATCGGCTCAGGTTCACGTCTCAGGTTCACGTCTCAGGTCAGCGTTCTGGAGGAAAAGCTGCTGAGGGACCCGTGATGGGGAACCTTTCATCCCCACTTTCACTCAGTGTTGTGCTGTGGAGTTACTGACGAAAGCTGATCAAACTAACACCGTTTGATCAAAGACTACATAAATGTGCAGGAGAAGTTTACCTGAATCAGGTGGGGTCCATCTGTCCAAGTTAACTCAGTTTGAATGAACATTTGTACTTTCTTGATTGACCATGCAAATGAAACCCGGGTTTTATTTCTCCAAAGTCGGCAGCGAAGCACGAACTGAAGAAATGTCAGAACTGTGAAGGACGTCTGAGTGTTTGAGAAGAAGGAAGAATGTTCTTCAACAATAATTAATTAAATATAATTAGAAATGACTGAAGTCTAGTCTAAAGTTGAATAGATTTAGACTAAGGTTTGGTACTGTTTTATCAAAGACTGAATTCATGGACAGAAGCCACGAGTTGGACTTAAAAGCACAAGAATTTAAGTGAAGTTTCAAATTCATGAACCTTGAATGAAGTCTGGTGCTGTTTGATCAGAGATGTGATGCGACCGTAGTGGGCAGGAATGTGACGGCAAAACGGACTGAACTGCATAAAGTCAAGCCTAAAATCTGCAA